CCTCCATTCACAAATGAACAAATAAATTCAAATCATCTCATGCAGTTTTGCAAAATGAATAAAAATTGCATGTAGAAAAATTCATCTCATGATTTCATCCGATATTTTGAGAAATAACCCTAGTTTTGACATTTTCAATTGATATCTAACAGAGCATGCGATTCATGTGACTATTTTTTTTTTCATTCATTTTTTATTTTGATCAAAGCAGAAATTTATTATGACATAGTCAAATCTGTAATAAGCCCATTAAAAAAATTCCGTATAGATATATAGATGAATTCATTTACTTTTCGAACTTTTACAGTTAGTGTTGAAATGGTTCAATTATATTCTTTCAATGTATTTCCATTTTTTTCACGAATTTCCGCAAAGATGTTTTAATAAATATCGAACAAAATTTATTCAGAAGTGTTTTTTGGCTGACGTATATCGCTTTCAGTTCCAATGGAAACTGGCACTATCGGAAATGAAATTGCGAATTCAATTCCAAGGAGTCACATGTCACTAAATGTAAAAGAATTCTCAAGATTCTCTTGACACCGTGAAATTTCATATTCTGTTAGCTCCGAATTATTTTTTCATTTCTTTAGGTGTGAGAGAATCGGAAAAGTGTTCGCATGAGTTGTGACGCCATTATAATGATCACAATCTACATATAGGCACTCTAGTTTGCTTTCAGATGTCATAAAATATAAGGAGTTGAATTCCCCTCAATCCTATTTGTGTTTGAATAGCTCTCAGGCATTCTTAACAGTACTTAATCTGAAAAAACTACAATATAATACTGAAAATTCACAGAAGTTGATGGAGTTTCACGCCACACTGAAAACTATTACAATGATATAGAAAAAGTTTCATCTGAATAGGATCAGCAACACAAAATTGTTTGTCAACATAATCTCTCCTCCTCAACATAATATCTTTGAAACTTTTATCATAAAGTCTCAGAGTAAGTGAATAACATCCCTTTTTGTCATCGAACGCAAGAATTGTGAGACCACTCATTTCAACGTTACTACAGTTTCGTCCTACAAGAATACTTCTAAACGAATACACGTAACTGCAGTAATATCAGTTACAAATACAGGTGATACGAGTAGGGTTCTGTTTTGTAATGAGTGGACTGTAGTCTGTGTGGTTTTTAGAAGAAGGTATAATGAACTTTCTACAAGATTTCTGAATGAATACATCTAATAGACGGGATGGGTTTGTTGGTTTTCATACGAAACAGCATCTTACTCGCAAGCATTGTGACTGGTACACCAACGAGGGTATTGATGAATTGTGTTGGCCAGCACAATCCATGGACCTCAATCCTATTTATAGAATATGCTGCAAGAAAGGTTTAGTTCGCGTGTGTATTCCAAGCGATCTATCCAAAAAGCACATTCATTTTGTTTAAGATTTTACAAATTCTTTTTTTTATAACAAATTGTAATTGGGACTACCCGTTGAATAAATGAATGAATAAAAGAATAAATTGAGAGCAGGATTCAACCTATGGATTCAGTAGATGAAATCATCACAAATGATGTTTTGAAATAATTTTCATATTGAACACTGGAAACTTTGTTGAAATTCGAAAAAAAAATCAGATAAAATGGAAAAAACAGTTTCCTCAATGGACATGGACAGATGAACCGATAGACAGTTTGCGAGATTTCATAATTGAATACGATCAAATCTAAATTCAGAATGGTGAAAATTTTGAGCATTTTTTTAACAAAATCGTGCCTAAAGGGTTGAAGTTTGACATGGCTATGTTTTTAGTGCCTTTTATTTATATAAATATTTTTTGCGAAATATTGCGAATGAATCGTTAAAATTGACTTCCTATAAAAATTCCAGGAGGTTCATATGAGTGAATTCTCTTCGACGAGATCTAAATTTCTTGACATTCCAAAAGAAACATCTATTTTTTGTTTTCTTCCCTTCCAAAGTGGATAATTAGCTGCCCTATAAATTTGCAATGAATCATAGCTTTTTATAGTTATTTACCTCAATGACACAGAAAGCTGCATGCAAAGTTGCAAGAAAAAAATTTGAAACTTGAGTCAGTATTGAATCACGTTCCATGCTTTACAGCGAGGTCGATATTGCGACATTTTTCATAAGTAATAAAAAACACTTTTTAATTCCAATTTCATTTCTTTAACTGCATTTGATAATACCAAAACTATTCATTTTTTGAAACACTAATTTGTCAGATATAATTTTTTTCGCGAACGAGCTATCCCACAATGAAAAAGAAATCATCACAATTGGTTCAGAAGCGAGATAGATATGGAATTTTTTTCGGGCGTCGTGATTTTTAAGTAATTTCTTCAGCCATGCCCGCAGTGCTAAAAAAGTTCGATGAACATTTTCACCGTTAAGAATCGCTTCTTGTCTCCTGACTGAGCATACACGCACATACAAAGTGTATTTTTTTTTTGTTAACCATAAAAATATTTTGAAGAGACATTTATATTTTGAAAATGCACAAAGTTATGGCAAAAACGCTGTGAAATCAACATACTTTTTTGGACGCCATTTTGCTAGTGGAAATATCAAATAATCGATGCTTGCTTTCAAAGTAAGTTTCAAAGGTAAAATTCAGGTCTAGATGAAAAAAAGTCACTAATATATGGAGTGCACCCAGGATGTCAGTTTTGAAGATATATTTCGTTCGTTTCATGTGAACATTCGCATAATATCGCAAAGAAATTAATTTTCTTGTACCACCATTTTTTTGTGTGTGGAGAGCACTTGAAGACATATTCCTGATAAATCTCAGCTATATGGGAATCATTCTAACTGAATGAAAAATATTTGAAATTTCCAACATTTTGACTTTTGAATTGCTTATATCTGGTCCAGTTTTGATGAAAAACGGATTTGAAATACCACGAATGAAAGTACATAAGGCTGTCTACATAAAGGGCGGAACAGCACTTAATGGTCTCGTTTATTATTTTTTTTTTTTCGTTATATCGGAACAAGATATCTATGGAGAAGATAGGTTTTGGCATTCCACTCCTCCATTATAATACGATAACAATTTTTTGAATTGCTCAATGGTTTTTCGCAGTCATATCGATGAATACTATCTTTTGAAATGATTTTGTCGCATACTGGGTGATTTAGTTGAGCGTGGCCTTTCAAAGTTATAATTTTTAAATGGAACATCCAATATATAAATACGTCATTCGATTCCATATTCTTTTAGCTCTATAAAGAATTTTCATTTTTAAATTTCTATTGCGGCATTGCCAAGTTATTCCAGAAAAACTTATTTTGCAGACAATATTTTTTCAATTCACCACCCGCATGTCTTCAGCAGTTCAGTGGAATTCTTTTTATAAATAGTCGGGGAACTTCTCTTTGTAATTTCTAGATGCAAGGAGGCAGTTTTCGTCACTTTACCCAGAAGCATAGACCATTTGCAACATGTCTTCCAAAACATAATTCATAATGAAAATGACTCAATCTACACGCGAAAGAAACTTCAACACATGGCGTTATTGTCAAATTCCGAGATTTATTTTTTAATCATCATGGATAACTAGGTTTCTGGCAAAAAAAGTAGTATAAATATTCATTGGGTTGTTTTACTCATTTCTTATCGTTGAAACCGCTGATAACTATAACTAGATGGTATGCAAAATGCTACTAACGATTAGTTTGAATATTCGAAAAATAAATTTGAGTTAGTGAACGTAGGAAAATACATTTTTTTGTGCTCACAACAATTACTAAAACTTTCTATAATTTGTAAAATAGCAGTTTTTCGTATAGTATACTTCTGATAAAAATACAGTGAAATGTTAAAACATTTCATACATATAAATTACGTCTATTTGAAAATGAACCTGACCGGTTCTACTGATCACCCTATATATTGTTTCCGATAAAATAATATTGTCTGCAAAATTGGTTTTCTGAAATAATTTGGCAAATCCGCATTGGAAATTCGAAAACAAAAATTTCTCAGATGACGTATTCATATACTGGATGTTCTGGGTTGGCCATGCAAGGCTGAATCACCTAGTATACGATAAAATAATTTTGAAAGATAGTTTTTATCAATATGACTGCAAAAAAATGAGCAGTTCGAAAAATTCTTTTCTGTGATAGAAATGTACTGAGGGAATCTTGTTGATTCGCCCTGTATACCGAAACCCATTGGTTGAATCCCGCTTTTGTTTATGGTATAAATCGCTTCCTTTTTGGATTAGTTGCCTGGGTTGATGTGCAGTATTCACAATGAGTTTCTTCGACAAAATCATTTTAACGATTCGCCACACATGCAGAGCAGTAATAAACCAATCCAGAGGTCATACTTTTTAATGAACTGAAATTTTTTGATGGTGACAAATTTTTTGCGAGATTCCATACGATTTTTCCAAATCCACATATGAGTATTTTGGTATTCACATATTGAAATTCATCATCATTTACCTGAATTCATTATGAAAAAAATTGATTGAAGTTGTTTGACAATGTTTCGTGGTGTATTTCATCAGTTCGGACTTCTACTGTCAAATTTAATATAAATTGATTTGAAATCTCTGAAAGAATCTGTAAAAAATTAAAAAGATTACCCGAAAAATAACAATTTTTTTGAACAAAAAACTGAAATTATAAAAAAACATACAAGCAACAACCAAAAAAAAATTGAAATATTATTACAAGCTGAAAATTATCTGTTGTTGCTTGTATGTTATTCCGTTAATCTTTTTAATTTTTCACAGATTCTTTCAGACATTTCAACTTAATTTATGTCTAATAGACAATGGAAGTCCGAACTGATGAAAAAAAAATTGAGTTTTAAAAAAATATATCCCGACTTTTCCAATGTGAATATCTCTGATATCGAAAACTCATCTGAATATGTTGAGGTAAACTTTCAACAGATTCATTCATTAGAGCCAAGTCATTAAATCATCACTTTTATGACCAGTTATCTCAGTTATTTTTAGTAAATTAAACAAACGAAAAAAATCCCTTTTTTGCAGAATGAAGCTATCCAGCAGGCGTTGGCATCTCTTATCCTCAAGGAGACGGCTGAAAATCCCTATAGATATTGTTGCCTGTGAGTATATTGCATTTCAACATCCGCTTCTGTTTCGGGTTCACATCTCTTGATATTATGGCTGTTTTTAATAACCGAGAAGGAACAATTGGATGAGACCCAGATAGAAAACAGATGAACGTATGCAGATATGTCATGTTGATTGTATTGAAATATTTTTCTATCAATTCCACATCCATCCATCCATCGTTGCGTCTTGAGTATTATTGAATAAATCAACCCCGAACTCATTTTTTAACATCACAATGAACCAAATGAACAAATTAAATTCTTTCAAATAACACGTCAATGTTAGATTTTTGCTGAGCAGTTTACAAAACCGCAACATGTGTTTTAATATACAATACCTTCTTCAAATGTTGCCATACTGACTAAATTCCAGCTGATTAGTGCTTTATTTAGTGACAATTTCCACATTAGAAAACAGATTGAGCAGTGGGAAAAAACTCAATTCTATTTGGTTATTCGGAATTCCCAAATGTAATAGCAAATCTTCAAAGTATGGTTATAAGGTTCAACCTCAGTCTGCTCCTGATAATATTCTAATTAAGTATCGGATATCAAAAGTACTTTCTGACGAAACATCTAGCAAATTCTCCAATCGTTCCTAAATGGACAGAAACAACAAATGAAATTTTTCCTTTTTTTCTTGGTTTTTCAGGTAACCCCTGTCAAAACTTTCGGTTAGTATCGATTAGCATTCGGTTAGATTTGGTTTTCAACGAAAATTACAAATGAAACGAGAATAAATTGCCTTTTTTTTTAAATTCAATGCTCAATAAGAAAATGAGAGTAGTTTGGTACTGAAATATGTTTACACACTAATTTATGTACACCTTTGTGGAGTAGTTGGGACAATTGTAAACCAGTAGTTTACAATGACCACAATCTCAGGACTTTGGGTTGAAAAATTGAAATGAAATAACAATAATACTGGACGTATTTCTCAATGAAATTATCGTTGAGAAATGAATTTCACACATATATCATTGAAATGATATTATCTCACTCGTTCGAATTAACTTCACAAATCATATTACAAAATATAACTGATATAAGTCATAGAGAAAGTATAGTATTCTACTCGCGGGAACTCGAGGGTGATAACGACATTTACATAAGGTTACTTGGAACAGCAACCATGTTCAATGTCGACTTCCAGATGATATTACTATCATTAGCATTATTTACTATATCACGGGAATATCCATGTGTGTTTGCCAAACCAAAATATATGAAGTGAACAAAGAGTGTTGAAGTAGGAGAAAGTTCCTCCTTGCAGTTCAGAAGAGAGTGAAAATAAAAATCAATTCTGAGTAACTGGGATTTTTTGAGGTAGTCATGAGTTTTTCTTTGATTTCATCAGTTCATATTTATGTTTGGGTCACTGTAAACAAAGGAAAAAAGCACTTTACCCATTCACCAGAAATGCAATACTTCTCTCTACGTCCGTTTCAGCAAGTTCGCGTCTTTAGGGGATGTAAAAAAAAGAGTGATAGAGAGCTTCTTGCAGGTGTGGAAGAGCAGATTTTTTTATTCACCCCCAAGATCTATGACACAGTCTAATTTCCTTCTCGTGTTCAGTTAACGAAAACATGCTCCGCTGAAAGCATTGTTTTTTTTTCTAACTGATATTTTACTGCCTTGAAATGTTCACAAATGTGCGATTCATGCTAGAGCTAAAGAACTCTCCCGGAAAATTTATTCACTGCAGTTCACAAACGAATATAACGTTATTATCTTGTGAAAGTGTGCTGTTTTTTTTCAAATCAATTCTCCATTTACATTTAAATTCCACCCATTTATATTAGCACAGCGCGGCGGTGGGTTTAGATAATCCGGAATAATCTCATAAATTTTATTCACCCCGCAAAAATATTTCTACACTTTTTGAGCTCCGTCAGAAAAAACATAAATCAATGTCTCTTGAGAAAACGGAGAACGTCAAATGCTTCTACTTCTATGCGTTCGTCAGCTGAAACATATTCAAATCTCGGTTGGCGAAATTTTTATTAAAGGCAAGCTATCAAGAGAGCCGTATTCAATATCCGCTCTCTGATCAAGAACAATTGTACGCAATGGATTGATTCTCATGTGTTCCACATCCAAAAGATAGAAAACAGAAAATCTGTTTGTATCATTTTGAAATACTCTGCCTTTCTGAATGAATTTCGAACTAGTAAAAACAAGAATGAGTTGAAAATAGCATTTATTGAATAAACAAATAAAATTAAATTCTTCCTTTCTCATGTATTTATCTTTCTTCACTTCCTCTTCATTTTCTTTCATTCTACTCCCTGTCCTTTCGTGATGTTCCAATTTTCAATTAGTTCATACCTACTCCGCTAAAATTATTAGTAGTTGACAAGGTGGAGGGTCATATGATCCAAATTGTATACAAAGCGATAACTATCCAGAATTTAGTCGTTATCATCACGTCTTAGGAAGATATTGTATAGCAAAACACGTGTTACTTAATAACCAAACACCACATGACGCCTCCAAAAATTTCATCTACTGGCAATGGCGCAAAAATCCCAGTACCGGCAACAGAAATAGGTTTGTTAATACTCGCTATAGCTGCAAACTTAGAACAAACGGAAGCAAAGAACTTCACAATCAGAGAATCAGGAATGAACTGCTCGCCAAACCTAAACGGTCTAGATCTTTCTGGTCGGTGGCTAAAGCTGTTATTCAAAACAAGGCGTTTGGTCCTGATGAAGTGCTCGTCATCGTACTTAAAAAGTGCGCAAATGAATTCACACCAGTATTCTGCAGAATTTTCAACCTGCTTACAAGGAAGAGATTTTTCCAGTAGCATTGCTATCGGTGATACCAAAAACCATAGAGAAAGCCGCAAACCTCCTTATCCTCAAATATTTGGAAAACTTCAACATCTTGATCGGAAACAAACCAGGTTCAATTCAATGCCATAAAAACTCAGGCATCGGTTTTCCCCAAAATAGATAAATATTTCCAAACTGGATATAATGTCAAACAACTCCGCTTTCTGTTTCGATGACTTTTTTGGTTTTTGGGGGTTGAAATGGATACCAATATGTCTTGGCATAATCATGTCGCTGGATTGCAAAGGCTGCTTCTTAGAAGCTTGGAACACTGTTTCGAACCAGAAAACTGGACACACCCCAGCAACTTTTGATGCTTTATGAAGTTCAGATCAGACCGTCTTTGGAGTATTGTGCTTATGTATAGAGCTCCATCCATTAGCATACCCTAAATCTGCTGGATTCCATCCATAAAAGAGCCATCCGCATGATTGCAGACGCGAACATCACTTGCAACCTTGATAGTCTGGAACATCGAGGAAAGGTTGGAGATTTGTCTCTCTTCTATAAATACTTTCACAGGAAGTGTTCAAGTATTTTGGTACATATCAGAAATACGCAACGGACTGTGGCTGCTCTTCGTTTTGAAGTTTCCCTCAGTACACCTCAAACTCCACTGTTCGAGAACTGTTTCATTTGGAGAACTACGTTTATGTGGAATGAACTTTCTAAGAACGTTTCTTCAAATGGATTTAATCTCCAGCGATTCGAATCCAATGTGTATCGGTACTTTCGCACGGGCACCGTTCTTAGAGCGACTTAAGGATTTTCCTGTAGTGCTTGTGTTTTATGTTCAAAAAATGGCATCCTACATAATAATATTCCCATTATCAATTAACATTTTTCTTCATTGCAGAGACAGATTACCAACGAATGTAACGAACTGCTCACACTACGCCTACTTGGAAGACATCTACGACATCATCAAATCAGAAAACGGTAAGCAGCTTTGATAATTTTTCGCCTCTTCGACATGAATTTTATCTATCCGGCATTCATGAAACGTAACTTCCCCGGAAAAGTCATTAATACCGGCAAAGTTCTGCGTACAAGAAATCATTTAACATTCTATTCAGAGGAGAAGTTTCCGATGAACTTGAATTTACAAAGTAACTTCGTTGACTGAGGGCTTCGTTTTCTTGCGGATTGTGGATTGGAACTTTTTTTTGTTTCATGGAAGTTGTGACTAATCAGCTTTTGGAGTCGAAGGCGTAAATAAAAGGAATTGAAAGTTTTGGTTAGTTTCCTGATTAACGTCATTGATTGAAATATTTCAGAATTGTGAAGCATGCTCTGAACGAATGGATTCTATACTCTCATACATAAACAATCTGTTCGAATGAAAAGAGGTATATTTTTGAAAGAGATGAATTTTTGGGAAGGAGAAGTTTTGGCCTTCCACTTCTCTACCTATATACAAAAAAAATGTGGGCATCCTCCAAAGAAAGGAAGGAAGCAATTGATTTGAAAATAAACTTCATATAAAAATGTATACTTCGTCGAAAGAAATAACTTTTATACACAAAATGTAAAATAATCCACTGGGAATAACTGCTCTCAAATAATCATTGAATTTTACGAAAAAAAAACTTTCGAAACAATTACTTTCACATGAACATTGAATTATACAATTCTCCATTCAGTTTTTACTTCAAACATTCGTTATGGAATTGAATCGGATACCATTCACACGATTGCTACACAATATAGTAACGTATAGTATAAGAAAACGGTAAAATTTCACTTTCCTAAAACAGTTTCAACCTCACTGGTGGACATCAGCACCAATCTGTTATTCAGAAACATCGGGTGCCCGCCATTTCGGGGTGGAACAACGCCACTCACAAGGGGTAATAACAGTGAAGAACCCTCTCTGCGGCAAGTATCAGCACAAACTTCCACAGATCTGGTCATCGGAACTGTCGAGGAAGAACAAATTTGCTGCAACAAATATGCTTGCCGTTCCAATCTTACTCTACTCGTTTGGAGTAGTGGAGTAGACTCGGGAGGAGCTTTATTAACTCGACGTAAAGACCCGGAGAACGATGTATCTCTATAGGAGTGTGCATCCCAAATCATCCGTTCCACGGTTGTATTTCCCCCGACAACAAGAAGGCCGTGGACTTTTGAGTTTGAAGTGTCTACATGACAGAATGATACTGTAAAGTCGTCAGGAGTTCGGATCCCCATCTCTGCATGGTCATCCCCATCTCTGCATGGTCCGTGACCATGCAGAGATGGGGAATTGGAGCATTTCTCCTTAAGGCAGCTGCTCGAGCAGCTGATGAACTTGGTCTAGTTTTCGACTCTGAACGAGGTGACTACAACTCTGTCACCGAGTTGAAACCTGTTCAGCAAAAAGCTCAGATAAAAGCCGCAGAGATCACCCTACTTCTGCGGAGACATAAGGATAAGACAATGCATTGGGTCTTCTTCAATAACATTGAAGACCTTGGCTTATCAAAGCGCCTGACGTTCGCTTTTCTCAGGTAGAATGGGCTGAAGTCGGAAACTGAGAGGTTCATCATGGCTTGCCAGGATGGTGTCTTCAACACCTTAGTCTACCGCAGTCGCATGATGGGTATAGAGGTTCCTGACACACGGTGCAGGGCCTGCCGCGACGCGCCCGAGACCCTAATGCACTTGCTATCAGCATGTCCAGCATATGCGGTCTCGGCCTATATCCATCGACATAACGCAGCCCCAAAACTGCTATATCACCATCTACGCCACTCTTACGGTATTGACGAGACACCGATATTGCCCTACGCTCCGGGGGATATTGAATCAGTTGTGGGGAACGAGAAGTGCCGAATTAATTGGAACTATTCGTTCCCCACCCTCAGGCTCATACAAGCTAATAAGCCTGATGTAGTCCTTCTCGACCACCAGAGCAAAACGATATTTGTCGTGGAGTTTTCAGTTCCTGGAGAGACGAATATCGTCAAAAAAGAGGAGGAGAAACGGATAAAATATCGAGATTTTCTCTTCGAACTCCGCAGACTCTATCCAGATCACTCTGTCAAGATGGTTGTACTGATTATTGGAGTCCTTGGTGGAATGATGTCCTCTCGAATCTTGAAATCATACCGGCTTGCCGCACTAAGGCAGAAATCTTAGCCGCACAGATGCAGAAGGCTGTCATTCTTGGCTCACTGCGCTTGCTCCCAATGATCACTAACCCCACGGTGTGGGGAGTGGTCATTGGTTAATAATGCTGGCGCGCCCTCCTGAATGTATCGGGGGATAGGGCCTGACAAAAAAAATAATAGGGCCTGATCAGCGCACACTACAGTGAAGAAGAAAATATAAATCTTCATTTCCCGTTGACAGTTACATGTATGGGAATTGTCAAATCTAGTTCTAAGGTTATAAAAGTATTTGCAAAAATAAGATATGAATTTAAGATAAGGTAGTCACATACATTAATTTTCAATTAAAAATTCGGAAAGCGAATAAAAACATTTCTCCAATGAAATGTTTCAACTCTCTTAAGAAATGTTCCACATTTCATGCTGTTCAATGATATCTGAGAGATTGTTAAAAATTCATGGCCCTATGTACTGGGGAGAAAAATATGCAGTATCCACTTTCGCAAATGGAATATACATGGAGTGTTTATTTCTTGTATCATATCCATGAATTTCTTCATTCAATTCGAACAACGAGCTATTTTCAAGAATATAAACAGCTACATCAAAAATAGATTTACATAAGTCCCTAGATGAAATATGTATTAAAGTACGCAATATGCGTTTTTGGCAGATGAAAACATCCGAAGTGGAATTTCCTCAGATACATATAGCATACCTGAGCCTTGAATCAATTTGAGAGCAGTAAATTGCCAGTAACTGTGCCTCATTGAGAACATTTCGAAGATTCAAAAGAAGAAATTTCAGTTTTCCAACTCAACAATCCATCTAAATATACCTCAAGGAATCTGACAGATTCTTGAGTGTTTGTCAAAATTCTCGGATTTAATCTAAAATCAAGATTTTTTATTGGCCTCTGGCGATTGTGGAAACGTACTATCTCTGTTTTTCCATACTGAAAAATAAAGAGCGTTCATTGAAAAAATTTGATATATTATTCATCACATCACTACAATTATCATTTAGTAAATTAGTGTCAGGTGAAGACAATACCAAAGATTATTCATCTGCATAGGCAGAGTGATGACAACTTTTTGAAAGGCAATCAATCTGATTGATGTAAAAAATAAACAACACGGGTCCCAAGACGGAACCTTGTGGGACACCCATATCAACACCTATACATTCAGATTTCCTATCATATTATGTATCATTAGAGTTTATTCGTATATATACATATTGTTTCCTGTCCACCAGAAATGATTCAATCCAGTGAGAGACCCCTCAAACCATATAGTTCTAACGACTCTAATAGTTTTCCGTGGTTCAGTTGCTCTTCTTCATTATTCCGATCGAGTCACATTTTACCAGTTCAGTGAGTACACTCTCACATCAAAGATAATACTCTCGAAACACTGGCATACATAGGAAAGGCATCAGAAAATATAAGTTAACTTCTGACTGAACAGAAAAACAACATAACATACAAGACTGATGACACCCCAGGTAGACATATGAAAAACAGCAAATCCAACATCGACTAGGACCATAAATCCGAACTCAATAATTCAAAATGTGGCTTGTGCCCAAAAATTAATATTGGAAGATCATGCAGAAATTTCTAAACCAGAATCTCTCAACACACAAGAAAGTTTCAACTAGAGAAAAACATTCCATATCATCTGTTGGATAACAACCATTATTACGCCTTGGTCAAAGAAGAAACGGACTGGTTTAAGTTTGACGATAGTCGTGTCACGAAGTGTTCTGGCGATGCATTGAATTTATTGAAGCCTCTGGAGACACCCTACATTTTGTTTATGAGAGAGAAGACATTGTTAGATCAAAATCTTCAGATGATGTGGTGCTGCAGGTTTTTCCGGGTTTTCCTGCAGCTGAAAAAGCAAATGCGCCACTGGAATCATTAATACCACGACTTCTACATCAACTTTGACATACTACATGCTGGAATTCCTGAAAGTTACTGAACGAAAACAATAAAATTTGCTATTGAAAAACCAACAAGAAATTAATCTTCTACCACTGTCGACATTATTTTCATGAAAAATGTCCTATAATTAGTCGAATCATCAGTAACAATATTTGAACTTGTTGGATACCTGTTCTCAAAGCTACCTATTTACCAATTAGTAACCTCTATTAATTCAGGTCGATAATTTGTATAAATTGTATTGTAAATAAGAGTTGAGTAGCGGTCCAAGTGAAAAAATTACAGTTTTTTCTTTTGCAAACGAATTATTCAAAGAAATAGAACTTGCTCCAGTTGAAAGTGAACACATTTCCAAAAGAAACAAACCCAAAACTTATTTTCCAAGAGAATGCTTGCTTGTATCTTCTGTTAAACCAGGAATAACCTCATCCGGATATTTCATTCCATATGACATCAATATGACCCGACTGGGAATATCCCAACCGTAGCTTCCACCCCCCATATTTCACAATTACCTGACTTCATCCTTAAAAAACATTTTCTTGTTCTAGACGTAGAAGAAACGATATTTTTCGATAAGCTGGGACAAGAACTGATAGCCTCCTCGTGCTCGGGCCGGATGGAGCGCGCATTCATGTGTCTGGGGGGCGATCTGAAGGAGTTTTTAACGACCCTCGACGGCGTTCACGACGTGTTGAAGTACCAAGAGATTGGCCACGAGGGAGAACACGAATCTGAGGCATTCGTATGCACGGCGAGTGGGGAAGGGAACCTGCAGCTGGATTTTACGACCGACAGACCCGCCGTGGCGTTTTTGCTCGTCGGGAGTCTTAAAGCGATCGCCAGGATATTGTACTCCACCGAGGCGGAGGTGACGATCGCGCAAAACGGGGCAGACGAGAGGCAGTTTAGGTAAGTAGTCTAGGTGAAGGATAAGATATCGAAAACACACCTCGAGTTATAAATACCACAGAACAAACATTCAGAAAAGGTATTTTTCCTCTAAACAGTTTACAAAACCGTAACACTTACTTCACCAGTTCATCTGCATGCTAGGAATCGCACGTTGAGAAGTAAGACCTCGTTAATCCTCAGCTTACACTACTTCCGACTTCTGGGGGCTGTCTTCCGTAAGAGGCGACAGGTGGTAAACGAAAAAACAGATTTCAACATACTTTTTCAGCAAATATCAACTGAGTTTTTCATACTATTTTTTATTTTCTTCCTGTTCAATGACTCGTGATTTCAACTGAGTTTACATATAAATTATTAACCAAGTTGAACATTGGAAAACCAATATTGAGATACATTTTCCATTTGTATCTATTGAGTTCTAGGCATTTCTAAAGATTGAGTTTTCAACCTTTTTCTCTCAAATATTTCGAAAATGTAAAGTTGGCTTCAAAACTAGAAAGTAGCCTTTGAAACTTTTTGTTCTTTTCAACAAACGTCAGGCCACCATGAAGACATGATATTGAAAATGAAAAGTTAGGGATATATGAAATGAGTTGTGAGGATCATGACATATTGGTCAGACTGAGCGAGCCATTGAAACTCGTTTCAAAGAACACGCAGCTCATATCTGATTTCGGAGACCAGAAAAAACCACTGTCGTTCAACACGCCTTGGCCTTGGTCTGAAACTGTTGGGATTGGTACACTACACTAGATTTTTGGGTAAATTCGAAACTCTGTGGCATGAGAACTATGAACAGTGTTAAAGGTCTCATGAATGAAATCTCACTTACTCAGAAGAACTCAGTTTGTAGAATATGGAAGGTACACGTTCCATCGCTATGTAGCTTGCTCGGGAGCCCCACAAGGCTCCAATCTGGGTCCACTCCTATTTTCAATATTTATCAACGATCAATATTGAAAATATACAGTCCAGTTACCTGTTTTCAAAACTATACTTCACTACAAAATAATTTAACGTTATTGGAGCACTGGTGTACCAGAAATGATCTAATCTCAAACCCAACATCAACAAATGTAAAATCCTAAAGTTCTCGCGTGAACATGTAAAATTGATCCAGATTTGCTAATATAGACAGTCTGAAAATACTTTACCTCACATTTATTAGAAGTGAACTAATATATGCCGCAGTCATTAGGTCACTTTTATATAAAAACCCAATAGACAGTATTGAATCTGTTGGAAGGAAACGTCTCAAACATATAATCTTGAAATGTTGTGGCTATTACCCCGAAAAAGGATATGCCCATCAACGCCTTCTAAATATTTTTCACTTCCAATCTCTGCAAGGAAGACGAGACTTCTCGGCAGTTACCATTCTCCATAAATCATCGAACGGCATAATAGACTGTTCCTATTTGTTGAGTAGGATCAATTTTCATGTGCCAAGATTTGTTTTTCGCCAAAATAGTACTTTTTACAATTCGTCTACTCGTACGAATTTACGCCTCAAGTCACCAATTTATTCAATGTGTAGTATCTTCGACGTTTGAAAACACAACAGGAACTGACCTTTTTTTTTGTTTTGAAAGCAACAGGGTAGTGTGGGACTCTAACCCACTAAACTCTAACACACTAAAACATCACTTTCATCTTCGCCGTCTGACGCCGGAACCATCCAGAAGGATATTACATCAGGTATGTCAGCGGCTTTTCTCCTCATCTTTCATCATTTTGTATTTTCCTTTCTTCATTTTCTTTTGATTTGATTACCTCACAAATGAATGTGAATACTTCTTTCCATACGACTTCCGATTTCAGCATGTTTTCTATCACATTGTCCGGTGTTAGGACTTGTCTTAGCGATAAGAAGGTACGCATTCTCATGCTTTGCCATTTAGCACAGTGGAAAACTGTGTGTTCGGGATCATCCACTTGGCCACAATATACACATCTGTCGTTCGTTTTCCCTATTTTATTTGTATAACTTCTGAAAGCTCCATGGCCCTACAGAAACTGGGAGAAGCACACATGGGATAAGGTCTGGTATCAATCTTTTCGTCCATTGAGCTACCGCTGTGTTCTCTTCCCATCTACTTTGCCACCTTGCTAATGTGTCTTCTCTGATATTGTTCACCAGGGCTTCACCCCTATATAAGGCAGTGCGCTCTTGTATGAGCAAGTCAATTCTATACAGTTGTATGTCTATAACTCTCTTCCATACTGGTGCTGCGTAAGTCATTATTGACTGTACCACCCCATTAAGCATCCTTCTTCTTACACAGCTTGGTCCTCCAATATTGCTCATTATAGCCTTTAGCCACCGTAACTGTTTTCTGAGCTTTTTCGGTGGTCTTTCTTACGTGACAATTAAAAATTAGCTTATCGTCGATTCACACTCCGAGATACTTCATATGTTTGGTCGGTTTAATGCTATGACCACCCACCCCAAACAGTATACCTTGTTCCTCTTTCCCGTAATAACAACAGTTCCTGTTTTCTCTGGGGCCATTTCTAGGTGATTGCCTAAGATCCAGTTCTCAATTTTTTCAAGAGCTAAGTTGGCACAGATCATTAGTTGGTCCTTGTTTATTGCTCTAACTACAAGGGCAAGGTCGTCTGCATATGCAATAGTTTTTCAGTTCCCAGGTATTTCCAGTCCTAACACACCATCATATAATACATTCCAAAATGTTGGTCCTAGAACTGATCCCTGGGGTACTTCCTGCGTCATTTCCATATTGAAGTTCTTGCCAATAAGTACTCTATCTTCCAAGTAACAGTCTATAATCTTGACTAGATGTTGGTTTATCCCTAGTTCTTGTAGCCTTCCTATCATATTAGTCCAGGATGCTGTATTGAATGCATTTTTATATCGATTGCGATCAGTGCTTTCCAATCGAAGGACAATGTACTTACATGTTCCAGTACTTTTTCTATAGCTGATACTGTCGATCTTTCCTTTCTGAAATCTATGAGTAGCAAGTAGGTTATTATATATTCCTAGCATCGTTTCTGGGATGACCCTAATGGCCTCTTTAATCTCCTCCGGCGAAATTCCATCTGATTTGAGATTCTCACATGCTCTTACTATTTCTTCCCTACTGAAGCTCTCAGGCAAATCCTGAGTCCCCAAATGGGGGTTGTTCGATTGATCCTTGCTGGAAATAAGCCTCTGATAATTTCAGTTCTCTTTTCTTCGGTAAGGTTGTAGGGTCAGTATGCTTTGAAGGTTTTCATCGTAATTTTGTATCCTTGTCCCCATATATCATTTTCCAGGACTTCGCAGAGTTTATTCCACACCTTGACTTTAGCATCTTTGATGAGTTTGTATAGCTTCCTTCTCATTGTTCTGAGTTCCACTTCTCTTGCAGCTCAAGTTCCTTGGTTCATTCCTCTCCGATCTCTTGTCATCTTCCTTCTTTTTTCATTGCTTCTCGACCATCTCATTCCACCAGTAGGGTTGTGCTTTCTACCTCGTAGCTGATGCGTCTTCTTGACTTGCCTTTATCGCCTCCTTCATATTCTGAATTGACCTAGTATTCGACTGCCCGATATTGGGTTTCAGAATTTCGATGACTGACTTGAAGAATTCTTTATTGATTTTTGGTTTGCATGGCCTTGTTTTATGAGGTGCTCTCCTTTCGTCCTGTATTTCAAAATAGATATATCGATGGTGACTCAAATACTCTTGTTGCAATACTCCCCAGTTTACTAATCTCTTGAATATAGTGGATGTTTCAAAAGTCATGTCTATATCCTTAAGTCCTAATCCTTCTCAATGAGGTCATTAGATTCTGGGTCACCAGGAGTTACCCTAAGGATGGGGTACTATTTCCTCTCTGTGGTTACTCTTGATGGATAGTCTGCTTTGATGTCGTTAACAAAATGAAAGTAGATGTGGAAGCTGTTACAGATAACCTTGTGATCCATCCTGGAAAGGACCATGTCGTGCAGGGTAGCCTATACGTGTTCATAGTTGCCGCCAGAGAGAGCAAATTTCAAATACCAGAAAATAAATCTGGATTCATTTGACTCCACTTTCCTCAGCTGATGGAGTCATTCTATTTTCAGGGCAGATGAAATATCATTCTAGGCCCAAACAAATTTATTGGATTTTGTAAAACAATGTTTTTCATAGATCTGTATTCCATTTTTTCGTACATAAACTAAGGCATTTTTGAAATGACTGGAGTCTTCAACACAGATAATGCTACTCAAGTTATATTATAAGAAGTTTGGATTATTGTCAAAATTAGTTTTTTGAAATTATGGGAACGCTTCAGCAAATCCTTCCCGAGGCTTTTATCCAACAACTAATTAAAAACCCGATTGGAAAATAACCAGATCCCCAGTGTGACAATATTATAGAAAATTCATAATATCGTCCATTTTCCAGCCGAGTCGGGCCCGAAGCGGCTTTTCCAGTAAATTGAAACTTCTCCCTGGAAAAAGTCTCCGCGTTACATTCTTATTACAATCCAGCCCGGAGCTTTGTTTACCGACGCAAAGGTAACAGTAAAACAAAGCCGGAGCATGAAAGGTAGTTGGGCTGAGATGCTCTAGAAGAGAAAAAAGGCTGTTGTAGTTGAAACGACGAATTGTATACCTTACGGATTATTCTAAACGTTATCAGTGGCTTTATGAGGAAAAATCGGGACATGGAGAATGATTTTCACTTAGATGATACCTATTACAGTGGATTCGTATCTTTTCTGAATCTCAAACCTTTTTGAGAGCAGGAGTTGTTCTCCATACTGATCAATGTTTCATCTAATCTTCAACAATTGAAATGCGCAAACATTTTAAAAAATTCCTTAAGACAATCTAAGAGCAGCGCATGCACCAAAGTATCGATTTACGTCGGATTAAAATCGCTGTAAATTATATTCATTTGGAAAAACTGTCCTGGAGAAAAATGTACCCAAGGAACTAAACGAACTCGAATCTACTCCAAAACGATTATACCAAATCCCAAATAAAAAAATCCATTCAAC